TAGAGGTGAAAATCCAGAAAAGATAACCAGCGTTGCTCATGTAGTCATTGAAACCTGTTAGTATGTGCATAGAAACACTACACACAGTGAGTTGGAAACAAAACCCAAACAGACCAAACATGCCGGCATACTTGTACAAACATACATCATTACAAGTAACGCTTCAAATGATAGACATGAAACGGTTCATAAACCACCAAGATATTATTCAATCATCAATAGGAGTGACTCTTATTATTTATAGTTAGGCAATGAATATTAATAATTTCACTTACTTTGAGCAAAACAAAACAGTTTAATAAGGACAATAAAATTCCTTTTGGATCATTAATGAATGATTAATATGTATAGATAAATATATGATTCTATTGAACAATGAACTAAACATGTCCAAACAGTAAGCCTCTCTCAGAAAAGAGCTCAGAAAAAAGTGGCACTTTTCACTTCAGCTTCCCTGTTAGTCACAGGTTTGTCACATCTAGATCAAAACACTTCAGATAGCAGACAAATCTTGTTTGAATGAGGTCGTGTATTGTTTGAATAAGGTTAAGCAGACCTGTCTGGAGAACACATAAGTTGCTGACAGCAGCGTTTGAAATTGAAGTCGGTCCAAAGGCTCGAAGCCGACTGAAAACCTCTCGGACCCACAGTTTTGTTTTCTGCTGGTCCTTATTGCCAACAGCTTTTGCATCCCCAATAACTAAGAGTATTATTTCCATACTAAAATATAAACACTACACATTCTGATCAGGACCCACAACTTTTTATGGTTCTGGGTCCTTGGGGCCTGCAGCCTTTCAGGGTTAAGGGCAAAAATTGGCTGACAGCTTGGGCTCACTTGCAGTGAGCAATCTTAGTGCTACAATGATTGTATAGTATGACCAGAAATTATTGAGAATTTTAGGAATATGTTTAATTGGATATCTAGTATAAACAACCTTGACCAGCTATCAAGTGCTTGGTTTCATTCAAGAGAGACAACTCCGTTAATCCTTTTTCATTAGTTTGTGAAGAGTTATCCCCCTTTGTTTACTTGCTAGCAGACAACATTTTCAGTGATCCTCAGTATGGATGATTTAGAGAAGAGGAAGTTGATTTTAGAGTATTATAACAAGGACACCAGATCAGCTAAAGTGATTTCAAGTAGAACAGGCATCCCTTTGTCCACTGTTCATCGTGTTTTGAAAAATATTGCAAATGGATATGGCATTGAGCACCAGGGAGGCACAGGTAGGCCCAGAAAATTAACTGTAGGTGAGAGGAGGCAGCTTGGTATTCTTGTTTCTAAAAACAAACGAAGGAGTATTGATAGAGGAACTGTGGCTGTCTGTAAGGAGACAATTAGAACTGAGCTGCATGCAATGGGTTGGCAGAAAAGTCGAGCAATTCCATCACCGATCATGAAACCTGAACAAAAGGAGCGAAGGTTGAACTGGTGCTTTCAGCATAGAAATTTAAACTGGGACAATGTGATTTTCTCCGATGAAAGTTCTGTGTGGCTGTTTCCTAATACACTGAAATTCTGGACCAAACAAACTGAAAAACCTTTGTATCAGCGCCCAAAGTACAGTCCGAAATTTAACGTGTAGGGTGGCATATCTGTGTTAGGGGCAACACCCCTCTGTGTATTTGAAGGGAATATGAACAGTGAGCGGTACACAGATATTCTCGAGGGACATTTACTTCCATCTGCTCACGTGTTCTATGGAAAAGTTTTGATTTTCCAGCAGGACAACGACCCAAAACATCGTTCAAAGCATTCACAGGCCTGGTTTCGGACCCAAAATATGACATTATTAGATTGGCCAAGCTATAGCCCTGACCTAAATCCAATAGAAATGTTTGGGGACTTATGAAAGAAAGTGTCAATAGGAAAAATCTGACAAATATTGCTGAAATGAAAGAAGAGGTGGTCTGATATTGGGACAGCATGGACCACGACTTTCTAACTTCTTTGATCAGTAGTATGCCCCGCTGCATTGAAGCCTGCATTGCTGCCCATGGTGACTTGACAAAATACTAACTGTTCACCTGTCTTTGAATCTGGAGTTATGTTCTGCTTATATTCACATTTAATACGTGAGTAATGAGTGAATTTTTTTTAATAAAAATTACAATCTTAAATTCTCAATAATTTCTGGTTGTACTGTAACTCCCATTCTCCAACATAGGCTTAAGATACAACTAGGATAGTTTTGACTTGGCGTCGAAATAGCAGTTCCGCTATGTCCATGGAAAATACAATTTTACCAGACAATCCAGTGATCAACAGCATGAGCATCGATCTGCGCAATTGGGATAAGATGACATGTGTCAACCAAGTCAACGAGCCTGACCACGTAATCCCGTTAGTCGCCTCTTACGACAAGCATGGGTTACAGAAGATTCATTCTAACCCGGACCTTCACGGGTGAAGAGAGTGAGTGAGTGAGTGAGTGAGTGAGTGAGTGAGTGAGTGAGTGAGTGAGTGAGTGAGTGAGTGTGTGAGTGAGTGTGAGTGAGTGAGTGAGTGACCTTCACAGGTATCCAACAAATAAGAAACAAATAGGCTACAATAACACAACATCTAACAAACAAGGAAAAGTGTGGCGTTCCACTGGATAGTAACCTTGAGAAAGGGCGCATTGATAACCCGGTGTCTGTGGGTATTCAACTCTCACTTTGAAGGCATGAGTGTTTACAAGTCTCAAATATTTCGCCATGTCTTTCAGAAAAATCACAGAGCATGACCATGAATGACCTCTGTATGTGCTTTTTGTACTTTTCTACACGCCATGACAAATAGCTAGAACAGGTTTATGTCTTCCTGAACAGGTAGAAGAAAATGAGGTTAATTTAAGCAGCTAAATATTCCTGCTGTAAATCGTTGAATGACAACTGGAGTTCACACAGGTTAATTGTCAGGTCAAGTTGTCTGCACAAGTAATATAGCCAAACTATAGAGCTAAGCCATAGCATCAGGTCATACTAGACAAGTTGTATACACTAGTAATATAGCCAAACTATAGAAATAAGCCATAGCATCAGGCCATACTAGACAAGTTGTATACACTAGTAATATAGCCAAACTATAGAAATAAGCCATAGCACCAGGTCATACTAGACAAGTTGTATACACTAGTAATATAGCCAAACTATAGAACTAAGCCATACAACCAGGTCATAATAGACAAGTGTATACACAAGTAATATAGCCAAAAGTTAGAGCTAAGCCATAGCATCAGGCCATAATAGACAAGTTGTATACACTAGTTATATAGCCAAAATATAGAACTAAGCCATACAGTCAGGTCATACTAGACAAGTTGTATACACTAGTAATATAACCAAAACTATAGAGCTAAGCCATACAGTCAGGTCACAGGCAATATAGCCAAACCTGTAGTCATGTGTATTGCCTGAAAGGTTCTGCTGCAATATCTTGCACTTCACACTGCACGATACAGAGACCTAACGTGTTTGACAGTGACTGACAATAATTGTGCACTCTGATCCGATTTTCCTATATACTAATGTAAATATTACTCAGACTGGGCAGTTGCAGGCATTTTGCAACCTTGGATACAAGAGAGACAAGTGTTTGCCACTGATATGGCAATATCCCCCACCTCTAAAGAATGGAATATCTATATTTACTACTTTTTATTTTTGGGTCACATACAAGATGCCTGAAATGACTGGTGTCTGCATAATCACCCGATGTAGGCTGTCAACATACTTGAAAACATTGGGTGCAATGTTTTATGAGATATCGACTTTAAAAAGCGGTCAAAGTATTGTGGTGACCTGGAAGATAAGGTCAAGGTCACCCAAATAAACTGGTGTTTGTGTAATACCCCAATGTAACTGTCACCAAATTTAAAGACATTGGGTACAACAGTCCATGAAATATCGCGTTAACAAGAGTTAAAAGCGTGCAAAGTGGCATGGTGACCTTGAAGATAAGGTCAAGGTCACCAAAATAAACTGGTGTCTGTGTAATCCCCCAATGTAGGCTGTCACCAAATTTGTAGACACTGGGAGCAACAGTGCATGAGATATCACGCTAAGAAGAGTTTGAAAGTGGTCAAAGTGTCGTGGTGACCTTGAAAATAAGGTCAAGGTCACCAAAATAAACAGGTGTCTGTGTATTCCCCCAATGTAGGCTGTGACCAAATTTGAAGACATTGGGTACAACATTTCATGAGATATCGCGTTAACAAGAGTTTGAAAAGTGGTCAAAGTGTCGTGGTGACCTTGAAAATATGGTCAAGGTCACCCAAATCGACTGGTGTCTGCATAATCTCCCAATGTAGGCTGTCACCAAATTTGAAGACAATGGGTACAACAGTTCATCAGATATCGCGTTAACAAGAATCGGGACGTACGTACGGACGCCGCTGAATACATAGTCCCACGTACCGGCGGGGGACAATAACAATGTGAGAGTGAGTGAGTGAGTATGGTTTTACGCTGCTGATATTCCAGCAAAATCACGGCAGGGGACACCAGAAATGGGCTTCACATATTGTGCCCATGTGGGGAATCAAACCCGGGTCTTCGGCGTGACGAGTGAACGCTTTTACCCGTGTATGAAATGAGACTGTCTAGATTTCTGACGGACGGTCTAAATTTACAGCTTGCCAGCCCGATTGTCTGGTAACAATTTTAGATGTTCCATACATCTGAGTAAATTCACCATATTTGGTCTAGTTAAATCCCTTTTGGGCTGGTAACATTTTGAAGTTACCAGCCCTGATGTCTGGCTGGATTTTTGGCTTATTTCATACACTGCTTTTACCACGAGGATACTCCACAACCCCTCAAAATATGAAAAAAAAACCACCTTTTTATTTCTGCTATTTTGAAACTAAATATCATTTGTGAATGAATTTCTTTATAGCATTTAGGTTAAATGACACAAATAATTAAGACACCTATAGTTTTTTTTAACCAAACACCAGAACACATTGAAAAAAGAATTGCAATAATATTGTTCGAAAAGTGTTTTCCCCTAAAGGTACACTGACGGTCTGAACGTGTATGCATATTGGCCTATGAGCATCACAAACTATATCGTCAGTGAGTGAGTTCATGTATTAAGCCACACAAGCAGCTTTCCAGTAGCAATATGACAAAGAATTCATTGTCAGCTTTTTGAACAACATGTAAAACAGCTGCCTATCTTGACCTGTATTTTTCAGTACAGGTGCTTGACTGCTTCCGCAGTTTATGAGCAAATAGAATTTTGTTTGTGTACATAAATCAGTGCACCTTTGCACCACAAGATGAAGATAGATAATTGGAGTACAGCATCATGAATGGTTAACCTCTTTTAGAAGTTGGTATAAAGTTGCTTGATAACACTGCAATAAACAAGTTGTCAATCCATAACACTTGTTCCTCTTCAATATGAAATCTACTAGCTAACGGCAAACAAGATAAAGATGGTGTGTCCATATATACAGGGATGAGAATGGGTATGAGTGAAGAAAGAGGACAATGAGCTGGGGGTCTTGGGGACCGTAGGTGCCCATAGCAACCATGCCAGATCCAATGACCACGGAATTTTGCGGATCCGCGAAAAAATTCTCATCCCTGTATATAACTTAACAACATTTGAAGAATGACAGTAACTGGTATAAAGATTTAACCTAAGTTACATTGTTGTTTAACAATAGTTGGCGTTATTTCTCGTTTTTGCAACATTTATATATCATTCACATTGTACATTCATCATGACATGTTTACTCTTCCTTCCATTGTATCCCGGAGCGGTATTCATATAAGCTTATGCTTGTTTACCAATCCGGTTCCTTTCTTTGGAAATAAATATGTTTAAATCAGTTACACTATCAAGTAAAACCCTTCCAGTGACTGTAACTGTTAGATAGATACGGTACATATTCCCACATTCTGTGGATGCCATGCTGATCACGGGGGAGCGAGGGGGGCATGTATGTGAATGTTACTCACTTATTAATGACAAGGACAATTACTTCACAATGACCTTCACCTTGGAATAGTAACTGATGAGTTATTGTCAGGCATGGCTCCGTGAAAGGGGATATCCCCCCTGAAGTCATGGAATGCTACAGTACATGATGGAAAATAACCATTGTTTAATTTAAATGTCGACAAGATCTGTGTGATCGAACTTGTCATTGTGAAAACTTTGCTTCAAACAGCTCTTGCAGATACCAGGGTCATTGGAGTAGCCTAGTGGTTAAATCGTTCGCTCGTCTCGCCGAAGAACCAGATTCAATTCCCCACATAGGTACAATGTGTGAAGCCCATTTCTGGTGCCCCTCGTTGTGATATTGCTAGAATATTTCTAAAAGCGGCGTAAAACTAAACTCACTCACTCCTCTTGCAGATACGACTTCTATGGGACATTTCCCTACATGGACATTTCCCCAGACACCTGTTGATGTGTAAAGCACTACACTGGTAATCTGTCCAGCCTTGACCTACAGCACAAAGACAATTATATACGTGATCAATATGTTCTTTTATATATAAACCTATGAAGGTCTGGGTTAGAATTGATCTCCAGTAACCCATGCTTGTCATAAGAGGCGATTCATGGGATCGGATGGTCAGGCTTGCTGATTTGGTTGACACACATGTCATCGTATCTCAGTTGTGTAGATTGATGCTTATGCTGTTGATCACTGGTTTGTCTGGTCCAGACATTAAACTAAACTCACTCACTGTTATTTTACGGATCCACTGACTGAAAAAAACATGCAAGAAGACGTAAAATTCGCTGTTAAGAGTTTATATTAATAATTAAGCCTGAAAAACTCTTTTAGATACGAAATATATCACAAATTGTTACCCCTTCATAAGATGACTCACCATGACTGCATGTTTATTAAATATTTAGGATCTTGGAAATCAAAACATTGAATATTAATATTTTTCACACCTACTCAACATCATGCTTACACTAAAGACAAAAAATAAATTTGGTTCTTCTTTTCAACCACCAATTTCAAGTTTTGAAAGAAAAAAAATCCATAAACAGGGTAATATAAAAGGCCTTACATCACTCCAGCATATAGAGTAAGTGGACATATTTGCTGAATGCTGACACATGTAACAGTCACCTGATAAGAAAGTCCTTAAATTCCTTACAGGTTGGGATACTGAAGAGTAGGTCCCAGGAGAAACTTCTTTTGATGCAGTCTGAAGAACAGGTTTTGGGAACACCAGAGTGGTTTTGTCATGCACGACTAACAGACAACGAAGATGAGACATCTTTGTTTAAACATGACCCCAGAGAGTGATTTGGTTTGCTTGTTCAATTTTAATGCCACACTCAGCAATATTCTAGCAGCTACATGGCGGCAGTCTGAAACATATGTGGACCAGACAGTTCAATGATCAGCATCATGAGCATCATTCTATGCAATTCGGATACAATGACATGTGTTGACCAAGTCAGTGAGCCCGACCACCCGATCCTGCTAGTCGCCTCTTACGACAATCATGGGTTGCTGAAGACCAATTCTGATCCCGTGATAGCTACACTGAATAACCAGTTGTCGGTCATGAAACAGACACTGTTCTGGAAAAACATAATAAAAAACCAAGCTATTATCAATGTCAATTTGAAATCAAATCTGTAATCATCAGATTCTGGTGCAACTAAGGGACTGAACTCTGCAACAATTTAAACCACAGCAATTCCAGTGCCCCGGACCTAATTCCCCAATGCCCTGACCTAATTCCCCAGCACCCCGACCTGATTCTCCAGCACCCCTGACCTAATTCCCCAGTGCCCCTTACCTAACCCTGACACAAAAATAAGTCTGGAATGCCAACACTTGCCTGAGGCTAGTTTATTCAAGAAGATTTGAAAGTTGTGACAAATCCAGGGAATCCTTGACATAGGTCAGTGTTTTGTGACTGGTACAAGGTGACCAGTGCCAATAGTAAATGTAAATTCATCATCATCATCATCATCATCATCATCATCATCTTCTCATGTTGTGTGCATTACATGTTGTTCTGTGGTTGAATGTCTACCAGCTACCAACTCTGACATTCTTGCATCCTCTAACCCTCCAGCCATACTGGACTTCCCCAGTTTATTTATAGACACATTTCCCACCTCTAATTTCTCTAAAAATAGCCTTTGACACCTGGAAGGCAGATGCCACCTGTTTTCTGATTGGCCCTTTGGTTACTTTTCACCTGCATTCTGCATGAACACCTAATACTAGTAATAGTAACAATAATGTATCCATTTATATAGCGGCAAACTCCACACCAGGTTTGCCTAAGGTGAGACTACATGTATCACATGTGCTTCGTTGTGGGGCAGGACTGAAGTCTCAGAAACTCTCAGAAGTCAAGCTGCCAAACACGGTCACCCATCCAAGGACTCTCCACTTCCAACGTTGCTTAACTTCACCTGATTTGTGACCTGAGCACGAGAGGACCACACGCCACGCTATAGAGGAATGACTCATTAAAGGTGAGAAATATTTCAATATTCATATCTTTTTCCATCCCTAACAGAAAAGAAATACTTACAGATAGAGTATCTCAGCTATTCAGAAAACCATTTAATTAAAGTATTTTGTAAAGCACTCCGTCTAAATATTTGCTAGTTTAACATTTTGTTATATTGTAATAGCTGTCTCCAGCACCTGTTGCAATGTACCTATTATACATACATAATTCTCAGTGCTTTTTGGCATTGAACGGATTATGAACACCTATGAAGACAGGTCTCTTGTTTACAGTATCCATTACATCAACTAACTCAGAACAAAAATCATCATCATCATCATCATCTAAACTTGCCCGTCTGATGACCAGCAGCCCCTTGGCTGGACATATACATCATCACCATCATCATCATCATAAACACTTGCCCATCTGATGACCAGCAGCCCGTTTGGCCCATTGGCTGGACATATACATCATCATCATCATCATCTATCATCTGAACCAGCTTGGACCCATCATCATCATCATCATCTAAACTTGCCCATCTGATGACCAGCAGCCCCTTGGCTGGACATATACATCATCATCATCATCATCATCTAAACTTGCCCATCTGTTGACCAGCAGCCCGTTGGCTGGACATATCATCATCATCATCATCATCATCATCTAAACTTGCCCATCTGTTGACCAGCAGCCCGTTGGCTGGACATATACATCATCATCATCATCATCTAAACTTGCCCATCTGTTGACCAGCAGCCCGTTGGCTGGACATATACATCATCACCATCATCATCTAAACTTGCCCATCTGTTGACCAGCAGCCCCTTGGCTGGACATATACATCATCATCATCATCATCTAAACTTGCCCATCTGTTGACCAGCAGCCCCTTGGCTGGACATATACATCATCATCATCATCATCTAAACTTGCCCATCTGTTGACCAGCAGCCCCTTGGCTGGACATATACATCATAAACATCATCATCATCATCATCTAAACTTGCCCATCTGATGACCAGCAGCCCGTTGGCTGGACATATACATCATCATCATCATCATCATCTAAACTTGCCCATCTGATGACCAGCAGCCCGTTGGCTGGACATATAAATCATCATCATCATCATCATCTAAACTTGCCCATCTGATGACCAGCAGCCCCTTGGCTGGACATATACATCATCACCATCATCATCATCTAAACTTGCCCATCTGATGACCAGCAGCCCTTGGCTGGACATATACATCATCATCATCATCATCATCTAAACTTGCCCATCTGATGACCAGCAGCCCCTTGGCTGGACATATACATCATCATCATCATCATCATCTAAACTTGCCCATCTGATGACCAGCAGCCCCTTGGCTGGACATATACATCATCATCATCATCATCATCTAAACTTGCCCATCTGATGACCAGCAGCCCCTTGTTGGCTGGACATATACATCATCATCATCATCATCTACATCATCTAAACTTGCCCATCTGATGACCAGCAGCCCCTTGACTGGACATATACATCATCATCATCATCATCTTCATCATCTAAACTTGCCCATCTGTTGACCAGCAGCCCCTTGGCTGGACATATACATCATCATCATCATCACTCGCCCAGTGTGATGACCAGGGCTCCAGATAATTTTTCAACATCAGGAGTACGTACTCCTTATTTGTTCAATATAGGAGTACTTGAAAACCTTAAGACTACATTTAGAGTACTGAATGGAAATTAATGGAGTATCAGTAATCTTGTGTTTCGTTTCATGTATGCACCGCAACATTGATTCTTGTGTAAATAGGTCAATGAACAATAAAACAAGACTTTTTCAGATAAATACGTTTGTAAACGATTCTAAGACCGTACACAATCGCTGTGGTGCGTATTTGCTACGTTTTCTAAATTATTTCCTACCGTATCGTGCATATTTTTTATCCGTACATACGCCGATACGGCCCTTATCTGGAGCCCTGGATGACCATCTGGACAAATACATTGTATAGTTTTCTAGGACTGCACAGTATTACTGGTATACCGGTATATCGCAATATGCTTTTCAAACGATACGTATTGCAATAGAACCGGTATATTGGATAAAGAACATATACACATGGAAACAAATAAGGGAACACATGAAAGTACAGGTGCTCCTTTATTTCCAGATTTTCACCCACAGTGATATCTATACCTGGTAAAGAAACCTGGAAAAGTATAAAGAAACACTTGTACTTTCATGTGTTCCTTTAATGAGTATATATGAAGTTGTTTTGTGATTATCTTTCTAGTTATCCTTGTGGAACTAGAATCCCTGACTCTCCAGCCTAACTCTGAGATTGCTGTTATCAGAACAATAACACATATGTTTAGGGGCTTAGAATGTAGAAAATAGGACTGACATGTACAGTTAGTGGCATCTACTGTCAAACGCTGCCAATATATCGCAATACGTATCGCAATACGGGTACCTGAATCGCAATATCGCAATACAATTTATTTGCCAATACACAGCCCTATAGTTTTCCATCGTTCCCAAGTAGGAATATAACTTATCAGGACAACATCTGTCACAACAATTACCAAGAATGCATGTAAAAATCTTCAGTGATATGATACAATTTCAGTTAAACTTTAATAAATGCATGCAACATGAACATCATCCTTAATTAACATTCAGTTGAACTCTTCAGGTATCCAATCTAAAATATGAAAGTGTCACCCAGTTAATCTGTGGCTAACGTTACAATG